CATGACAGAGATGGCAGCCCACAGGCTGCTCCCTTTTCTGCTGGCAGAGCTGCGTAGACAAATAGTAGTGCATGTGCCTTCAAGGTGACCCTAACTTTTGATCTTAGTGCCTAGGATGTGCATCATTTCTCCTTTGGGCTTTGGAAGTTGTGAAGAGGGGGAAAAACTGTGGAGCTGTGATTCCAAACCAGAAATCTTTGCATTTTTTCATGCCCTGTGTGCTGCCCCATTCTCATCCCCTTTAAGATGTTACAGTTTCTCTAGAGTCTTCTACCTGCTCCATGCATCCCAGCTCTCTTTCCCAATAGCCATGGAAAGGAATTCAGAAGAGAGAGCCCCTCCCTTTATTTTTTATGGTAGATGATCCTCAGTCCTTGCTTATGTTGAGCTTTGTACCACCTGCTTCCCTCCCACAGGCTGAGTGTTCATTAGCTTCACATCCTGGTTGGGCTCACCCATTCCTTTTATCCAGAACTCACAGTTTTGCCTGAGTCAAATTAGATTTCTGTAGTTTTACTCTCCTAGTGTTTCACTGCAAAAATGCTCCTTCCAAGTCACCACAAATGCTCATTCCAAGTCACCACAAACAGCAATTCATTTCTGTCCCTCCACAGACATTACAGAGCCAGGCTAAGGCTCTGGGAGCTGTCTCTTGGAGCCATACATCCTCTTATCCATAGCTATCAGGACTACTGGAGACTGTATAAGAACATGCCAGCCTGTTAACATGCTAAGGTATTTCTTTGGATTCTATCAATTTCCAGTACAAAACGTTGGTCACTTGCACCTGTCTGCAGACCCCAGAATTTCAGCACAAGCTGTATTTTTCCCAGTGCCTACAGTGGCTGACGTTGAACAGTTACCAACATAATTTCCGAGGTACAGTTTTTCTTCTCCTCGAGAGCTGCAATTCATTTAAGGTGCTGAATCCAACACCATTTTTTCCAATCATTCTATCAAATTTTTTACATTTTCCTGCACGTAATTTTATCCCCCTACTACGTCCAGATTTACTAGTTGTTTATACTTAATTCAGCTCTAAAAAGGTCACATACAGGTGCTTACACATATCAGAAACCCATGATCAGCTAAGGAAATATCAGTACCCCAAAAGGACTGTCAGATACTCTGCTGCTTTCTCAGCAGGCTCTTATTCCACATAGGAGCTAAAAACCCATCAGGTGCTCATAGAATCTAGTTCCTATCTGTGTTACTCATTTCTCATAAAGAAACTGGGCCATCCATCTTGGTGATGCCCCAAGAAACACATGGATTTTTTGAACACTAGAGATAACAGTAATGATGAAGGAAGTGAGATTTTTAATGACATGGAGATGAGCATTGTTGTGCTTTAGCTGAAAACTCTTTTTTTTCTGAGAAATAGATTTCAGTGCTGAATACAAGTAAATCAATACTCACCATTCACCTACATGTAGACATTTTAAAGTATGAAGTACAAAGTTTTTTCCTCATCTTGCCTCTGGCAAGAACCTCAAATAGCACAAACAGCTTACAACTGTTTGCTACAAGAAAGAAATTATTCTACGAGGAGTACCCTCAGGACAGAGCTGAGATACTGTTGCGGTGAAATGGAAAAGACCAAAAAGTTCAGAAAAGTGCTGTCCATGCAGAACAACATAATTGAATTAAAATTTTATATGGTTCCAGTGTAAGAGAAAATACATTTGAAATAGACTCATGTCATAACCCTTCTCCTCAACTGTCAAGTACTGCGCTGCTAAACCAGAAGAAATTCCCACGATTTAACTTTTCAGTGTTCATGATCAAACCCTACATTTATCATTAACAAAGGCACTGCCTCCTTCCTGGTGCCTGCTCTGGCTTTTCCTCAATTCCTGCAAGTATTCCAAGCGTCTTTCGCAAATTAAGTTCATAAGAGCAATGCTGCCCCCTATCCGCTGGCACTATAAATTGTCACAATTTTTAGTTTACTTCGTTGATTTAAAGGCAAATATTTAACAGTTTAGTTAGCAGCCATTTGCTATGTTTTTCCCTTTCAGAAAGGAGGCAGAATCTTATTCAGAGTGGTGTTATTGATCTTACCTGGGTCCCCGAGCTGGCACATCATTAGGTCAGATTAAAGGTAAACCTAGAAATCAAACAAAGGAAATTCAGCTCCTAGAATTTGTATGCATTTGTTACTGCCTTTATGGCTGGGGCAATTAAAAATTATGCTTAGTTCAAATGTACCTGCTGATTAATTATATCCCGTACATTCAGAGGAAGCAAATTTATCTCAACTTATCTCTAAAGAGAAGTTCTACAAAATAAAGCAGCCCTTATCTGTCCTGAAGGGACTTCTGAGGAGGATTAACATGCTAAAATAGCTCAGAGTTGGACATCAGAAGAGCATAAATGTAACTGATAACCCAATATATCATGTTTGGCAGAAAACTGTCATTACAAGCAGGCTGACAAAAAGTCCAAGATGAAGGGATGGACACTGATCATCTTGCATTCGCTCCTGCTTGTGGAGTCTTCTCTATTCCTAGTTGTGCACAAACTCCTGTTGAGCAAGGAAAAGGCTTGCAACACCCCTGTCTGAGAGAATTTATATTTAGTGTTCTCAAGGTGGACAAAAGGGGATAGAAATGTGGGTCTTTGAACCTTTCAAGATACAGAGGGAATGGGTGACTTACTTCTGGTCATACAAGAAGCATGAAAAGGCTGAAAAATGAAAGCAGTGCTTCTTCCTAGCTCACTGGTTTTATCACAGAACAACTTATTTTTTCTTCCAGAAAGGGCTCTGTATAAGCTGAAGAGCTTCAGGAATTTTAAATAAGTCAGCCTTCAAGGACCAGTTGCCACAGATTCTTTATCTCCCCTGAAACCTGAAGCCATTCACCTAAATCTGCAGTAGGATGGAACAAAACACAAAGGCCAAAAGACCTAACCCACCTGAATCAGCCCAGGATCCCTTAAGAAGAGAATAATTTCTTCTTGGGATAACAATTCTCCTGAAGATTTATTATGTAAAAAAAATTAGAAGCAGATAAATAGAAAATATGGCTTTCCTATCTTACCTCCAACTTGAGCTGACTGTAACATATCCATCCAGTCAACTCTGTAAAATCTTAGAATTATAAAATGTTTTAGTTTGGAAGGGACATTAAAGATAATCTAGATCAAACACCCCTGCCATGGGCAGGGAATGTCAGTCTTACATCTCAAACAAGATGCCAGTCTTGCATCTTAAAGAAGAAATTATAGTAAGGAACACACTTTAAGACATCGTACAGGCCCAAACGGATTGCTATCAGTTACCACTGTTCAACATTTGTTGCCAGAGAAAAACATTCCTAGGGCTAAAAAGTGAAGCTCTGTTCAGATTCCAGGTTGGATTTGAGTTTGTCTTCATTTCAGGCCACAGAATAAGCCTGCTTTTCTGGACAGGCCTGAGGTGACATATGAAAAATAAGACAGAAAGGAAAAGACAAGAGATCTGAGAGTGAAAGAAAAGAACAAAGCTGAGAAATAGAAGTAAGCTGCAAAATCCATGAATCTGCATCCCTTTTGTGCTGGAAAAGGCCCTTGTCTTTAAAGTCTGAAAATAAAGAATTTTCTTTGGGGAACACAAAAAAGTGTCTCCATATAGTATTGCCTCTGGCACAAAATAGCTCTGTGTTCCTCAGTTACTCAAAGCAAACTGAAAAGCAACAGGTCAATGTGAGGAATAGCTCCATTCCTCCAAGGAGAGTACAAGTGCTGCCACAACTCAAAGAGGTGAATTCAGGGTATCTGAATTGCAGAATTGCAGATTTTCTCTCCGAGTATGTGTTTTCATCTATCTGATGTAATGCAAAGGTAATCACCCTACTGAACCAAGAGTTTGAATCAGAAACCAGGAATCAAAAAAGAGACAGCACAGTACAACACTGAAACCTTGCAACATACAGGTTGTTGTTGTTACACAAGCATTATACCTGTAACAACATTGAGGACACTTCAGCAATAACAATCCCTGATTTTCAATATATTACTGTAAGCCTTTCCGGAGAAACAGGCCATTTTGCACTCTGAATAGACTAAATAAGATGCACAAAAGCAGGGACATCAAAGTCCTCATTCTAACATTAAATTAATAAAAGACTCCATGATCACATGGAATTATCCAGTATTATTATTCTAAGGGCTTTCCTTTGTTGAGACTCATTTACACACTTTAGAAAAAGAAACCAGCACAAAATGCTCAGGGCAGCCATCACCTCATTTAACTGAGCAGCTGTGTAGTATTTGTCTTTACCCTAGCAGGTTGGGTACACAATTGGTCAGTTTTAGATACACCTATCTGCTTAGATCAGAGGTTTCTGTGCCAAGCTATTTCTTGCAATTTTTACTTGCAAAATGGACTACGGCTAAAGTCACCTGAGGCACCATGGCCAGATGCTCTTATTTAAGGACGAACACTGCATCGAGCTCTGATGATGCAGCCCTGTGTCTGAACTCATCCTGTAAGAGAAGGCTAAACTCTATATATTGTTATGTTTAATATGTGGCATATGAAGAAACATGGAAGGTTCAACAGATTAATTTTTTGGGGGGGGGAATCCCCAAAATAAAATTATTATTTAACAGGTAAAACCATTATTAATGCCTTTAACCAAATCTGACATAGCTGGTGGGCATGACCAAAGCATTTTTGATGTATAGCCTCTACTGTCATATATTACTCAATTACCTTCCTCTCAAGCTATATTCCCCCTGCACACTTCATAGTCCTCTCTGTGGAAGAAATGGATTATTTTAAACACAAGACAGTTGTATTTGTATCTTGCTGGTAAACTTATGGTGATACTTAGATGTTTGTTCTCACAGATATTCCTAAAACAGAAAAAAAGTTATTTGGGAATTACATCCTGAAAGAACTACTCTGTCCCCAGGTTGTAACTGCTGTTTCAGGAGAGGCAGAAAGCTGCAGAGGCTGGAATGCTCAAGAGACCTGGACTCCCATGAAACACTAGACAAAAAAGGCACTTGCTGCTAGGAGAGGCAACGTTCCCCAGAAATCACAGCACCAGGGCCTTGATGGGGAAAAGCTATCGAGTTTCCCACTGAAGCAGGCCTTTGAATGTCACTTTGCAAAGAAATCAAGACACTGGGGGCAGCGTTTACTGGCTTCCCTTCACGCACATGACCAGCTCCAGAGGGAGGAGTTTGTTCCCACGGCTACCGAGTCGAGCGAAGGGGGTAGGGGCAGGTGGCTCCCTTGGAGCTTCTGGGTTTGGGAGCCGGATGTGCAGTCTGCAGCACGGCAAAAGCAGGAGTGAATGGGAGATGATCAGTGCCCCCCTCCCTCCCAGCCCCACGGCAAGAAGCAAGTCTCAATGAATCATTCAAAAAACAGGAGAAACAAACCTCAGCTGTGTCTGTCAGAGGTAGGTGCAGGCTGCCTCCCAGATCAGTTTGCATGCTTTGTTAACACCCAGGGCTGTTGGAGTGCTGAAATCTGGCTTCAGGATATTGTATAGCATATTTACCTATAAACTCCTTTGCCTCTTTTCTCTGTGGGTAGAAATAAGATATATATTTTCAATGCTGCCTCTTTTTGTGGGGGTTGCAATAAAAAGACTTTTTTTCCGCGAGCTGTTTGCCATCCTCTGTGTATGTTTTTTGCCACTGATGCACTGAAAACTGGGGTGCAGTTCAGTAAGGAGAGTGGAGACAAAAGGTCTGTTTTCATCCAGTTAATTCTTGCTTTTCTTTGCTCAGTTTAAAGTAGCCCATGTAAAAGCACTTTTCATCTTTAGGTTTGTCCTCTAGCACTAGGTGAATAGTTTTCTTCCCTTGTAAATTAAAATGGTGTGTTGTTGCTATGGAAATGTTATCTGGTTTTCTTCTTAGTTATTTAAATATATAAGCATACATGTTTGTCTCCTGAGTTTGCGCAGACTTCAGTTCTCCACCTCTCTGATAATTTTGTTTTGGGCCCAGTTTATACACCTGTTCCTGGAAACTTGTAACATGTTGTGTCTGGTATAAGCTGTTGGCTTCTATTCTGAATAACTTGAAAAGACAGACAAGACAATTGACACCTGCATGTTCACTCCACGAATCAAGATCCAAAATAGGGGAGACACCCAAATCATTTTCTTTCCTGAAATAAAGTGATAGTTTCTTGATTCTGCATTCAGTCTCTGACCAAGAATTGAGAATGCCTATCAGGCAACTACTTTTGGGAATTCAAAACCGTTTCATCTCTGAAGATATTGGTGTGAAAATCACATTTTTTTTTTAATATTGCTTTCTGAAGAGGGCTTTTGGCCCTCTGGCCTTTGGCAGGAGGAAGTCTCCTCACCCCAACTTGGGTCATGGTCACCCCCCAGTATGTGATACTTTGATGGCTAAATACCATGGAAAAGATGATGCATGCCCTCTCCTACCCTCTTACGAGGGGATTTTTATCTCCATTCTCAAGCACAGCATCATTAAACCACCTGCCATCACCATCCAGCGCCGCGAGGGCGCTTTAACTCTGGCGCCCATCGCCTGAGGGGGGCACATGTGAGCAGCCATGTTGGGGTCAACGGGAAGGGTGAAGGGGCACACCCCGCTGCCGCTCGGTCCCGGTATCCCCACCGCAACTTACCTGGATCTACGCCAGGATGAAGCGAGCGGCTCCTTTCGGATCGGCTCTCGGCCGCGGGAGGGCTGCTTCCGGGGGAGGAGACCGGAGGAGGGGCGAGGCACTTTTCCTCAGTGTGAGGGAGCGGCCTCTCTGGGGATGGGATAGCGGGTGAATGCCCTTATGAGGTACAAAGCCCGTTGGAGCGGCAATGTGGAGGGTTGATGAAGGTTTAAAGGAGTTTGGAACAGACCTGGGGAGGCCGGTCAGGAACACTTGGAAGTCCTTCGTTTCCCACCACGGAAAGGCAGGTGGCTGCATGCGGTGGGCATTTTGTCAGCACTTGGTCGGGTCTGTACCATTACTGCCGCTGAGGAGATCCATAACCAGCCTTGTCTTCATTTTACTCATGGAAAACACAGCCAGGGAGAGGAAGTGGCAAGGCAGCCATAGTTTATGAAGAGTGCCTGTCATCGTGGTAGAGCTGAACTTTCCAGGGGTGGTTATGCAAGGGTTGGAGGCAGTGTTTTCCCATTAAGGAAGTATTTCTGGTACTCAGAATTGGGGTCTGGAATTCTCAGAATTCTGCTTTCTCCATTATGTGTCCTTAGGAAGCACCTACGGAGGTCTTTTTCAGTCTAGTGGGTTTATTGAAGGTGTTAAATAGGCCATGGTGTGGAAACTGCTACCACAGCTACCTCTTCATTTACAATATAGTCCTATGTCTTCTAGGGGACCAGTCACCCATGAAAAATCAGATAAGGCAAATAAAACCTCATCAATACCATCTGGCTCAAAGCTACTCCTGAGTAATAATTTTTTTCTTCATTTTTCCTTTTCTGCCCCTGAGGTTTACAGAGTTGTCCCCCAACACATATATTAGCTGTGTAATTTGGGACTGTTAATAGCAATCGCATTCCCAAAACTAGAGATGTACAAGTCTAGACTTGCCCTAGACTTCAAGATTTTCTTTTCTTTTGGACATACCTCCAAAAGCACGTTGGTGAGGAAAAGGTCTGTTTGGCTTTACTCGAGCAGTTTGGCATAGACAACATTTGTAGCCAAGGTCAATGCAGATGTTTATCGAAATCTCATCTTTGGTTTCTTGTAGAAAAAAATCTGTATCTGGAAACATCATAAGAAAGTGGTTATGGATGTGATTTGACACTAATTATTGCAAAACTTAGCAGGCAAGTACTTAGAAAAGCCTGCATCTGTGTTCATTCTGCAAAACAAAGCATAAGACTTTAAAAAGGAGAGAAACTGTCTCCCTGAATATCATTTAATTCCTCCTGCAGTGTTAAAATTAGGTGGGAAAATTAGTTTTTGTTACATAAAGTTGATTTTTAATATGTTAGAAAATAAAGAGACATCTCTTTCTCCACAGGTGCTGTTACAATGAATGAGAATATCCAGGAATTAAGGTAGTACACAGATTTTAATTGTTATTAGATAAATTCCTGTACCTGCTGTTCTCATTGTACTAAACAGCACACTTATGAAAATGGAAGCCAGAAGATTCCTAAGGTGTAGTCTGTTATAATAATGTGATAGGGAAGGTGTGAACACAAAATTTAAGGATACGGTTGCCCAAGGCAGGATGAACTACAAGTGAAGGATGAACTACACTGCATGATGTAATTTGTGTGTGAGCTGAATTTGTATCCATGGAGGAATGAGTTCTTCACTGGCAATGGGATTTCTGCACAAAGAGCAGTATATATAGCACTGTCCTTTGGAATGAATTTGCAGGAGTCTATGATTCTCCCTACTCTTAGATTCAGAATTATTCAGCATTGGAGAAGTGATACTTGTGAAATTCAGTGATTTTTACTGGTTTAAGTGTTTGGGTTTTTTTTTTCCCCAGAAGGTAGTGCTTGGATTTAGTGATTTTTGTGTACAGTTATGTATATAATATTCTATGATTCTATATAATATTTGAAAGTGTCTCCCAAAGAAGGATAATTAATGATTTGAAAACTACTTGCCAGCAGAGAAGAATTGGGATTGTATTTTTCTCCCCAAAGCTTTGATTTACTGATTCACTGAGACTCTGATGGATCAGGCTGAAGTGTAATCTCACCAGTGCACTCATTGCAACAGTGACTAGTGGCAGATGTCACAAGAAAAATGGTGAGGAAAAAGCGGCATTTTTGCATAGTACATCGCAATGTCCAGGGAATTAGAATGTAAAGACTTACTAAATCTAAATATCTGTCCCAACTGTCAAGTTTATTAGTCTTTGGTGTTTGGATAGTCATTCTTTTAACCTGTTTGCACATTTAGGTTATACCCCACAATAACAGGGAAGTGTTGATAGAACCTCCACCCTTGCCTCTTCTTCCCAGTTCCAGAGTTACAAACTCAGGATGATTTTCCCTATGCTCTGCAGTTCTGTTTGCTTCAGTGTCTTCTGATCTTGTTTCATCAGTAATGTCACAGAAAGAAAATTAAGGTTTATCAGGATGCCTTGATACAGCTGCATAGAGGCAGCATAACAAGTGCAGTGCACAGACGTAGGGACTTGTTTTATTGTGAAAAAGAAGTGCTGTGTGGGCAGAAATCAACTGTGCATGTTGTAATTTGGTCATTTGTGAATGTCACAGTCCTGGTATGTACACACAAGAGTACTGATGCTCAATGACAGGGAGCTGCTCTCCTTGATGATCTCATTGTCTTCCCTCAACTGTAGACTTGCCAATTAAACTGTTTTTCCACAATGTCAGATTCCAGTTTGTCCCTCGACTATTTTTTCTTCATGTTTCCTCTTAGTTTTCTTCTCTTTACTGCTTAGAGCTGAACTGCCAAAACTTGTCTATTATTCTCACTTAGATGGATTTCTTTCTGTTTTGGTCAGAAAAACTCATTTTGCCTTTTTTTAACTTATCTGCCTGCTTTCTTTGCACACACACACACCCCCTCGCCCCGCTCCCTGACTCCGCCTCAGGAATGTAGCAAATTATCTGATGCCCGATCAAGTCTAATAAAATCAGATGGTGCACCGGCTTCCTTTCTTCTGTGCGCAAGGTTTTATACAGCCGAACAGGTCTCTTGATTCTAAGTTCTCTTAGATGTGTCTTATCATGCCTGCAAATGAAGTATTTGATAGATTTCTGTGGGTTTGATGGACCATACAGTTCCAGCTTTGTCTCAGTAAGGTAGTTATTTTACTGACCAGCTAGGAGAAAAAATGTGTAAATAAAGGGAAATCCCTTTTCAGAAGGTAAACCAACTTAATTCTCTTTGTTTGATGAAATGCTGCTTTACTTCTTTGGACTTTAATAGATTATGCCTGCCAGTGGCAAAAGATAATAGTTCAGTTGACTACAGTGGAGCTGCAGCAGTTGAAGATGTGTCACTGTGTTGCCAAATACACACGCAAACCAGGAAAGTACAACAGTGTTGCCAAATAAATTCTCTCGTTTCACTTTTTTTTTTCAGTTAGTCCTGTCAGGTTTAATTTGTGATGGCGTGCAGTCAGGTACTCTTCTGTATTCAGTCCTGCCTTTTCAGCAAATGTTTTTATGTGCTTTTCTGCAGGGAGAGACTGGAAAAACAGCCAAAAGAGTCTCTGAAACTCCACAAAGAAACCACCAAATGCATGGTGGAATCAATGATACATTCTTTGAGTCATGAGGAATCTTTACCAAGTGGCAATATGCCTAGTGTGGGCAAGTATTAAATAGATTTCAGAAGATTTGGGAATAAATTACTATAAACATTGCAGACCGTTATGTGATTTAGAAGTTCATGTTACATATTTCAAGTTGAATCCTCTTTAGGCCCTGTGTCTTGAACAGCTCTTGTCGGCACAAGCCCAAGGTAAAGGCAGAGCAGCTCTGAAGTGTTCTCTGAACACCCAGGTTCACACAGCCAGTGGGGGATCCTGGAATTGGCTGGATTTGTTCTACTTAGAAAAGATGATTCCTAGGTTGTACCATTGGTAGGCACTAAGAGGCACAAATGCCCAGTTGTACAAATAATGGATTATTCTCATGTATGACTTTTGCTTCAGCAGTTAAATTTATCTGCCTTTCAGGTGCTGCTAGTCCATTTCTCAGCAACCAGAATGTTTCAGCTTCTTCCATTCTCAGCACAGTGATGAAAAGCTCAGCCTGTTCTAGTACCACTAGCAGTCCACCCAATAATGTCTTCTGTTCCAAATATGAAATACATACCGATTCTGAGAAAGAAAATGTGAGTGGTGCTGGCAAAGAACACATGGAAAACATTCTAGAAGAATGCTCGCAGAAAGGCAGAGATGCTCAGAAGAGGCTTAATGAAGTGAGTTGCAAATTTGGGGCAGCTTCTTAAAATACAGGCAAGCTTTTGTTGCTTTTGTCATTGCTGAGTCTTTGGACAGTTTCACCAGCACTGTTTTGAGCATCCACTTGGCTGCTGTAAATTGTACTTGGCCATCATGATTCCCATGTGCTGTTTGACAGAAATAGACAATGGGTAGTAATGTTGGCATGATCCTTGTAACAGTCTTCCATGCATAGTCAGTCCATGACAGCACAGTGTGACTAGCAAGTTAACTAAGAAATATTAAAAAAATTTGATTCCCATACCCTTGCTGCTCTCAGCCTCTTTTTTTTTTTCTTTCTTTTTTTTTTGGGGGGTGACAGTGGAGGTTATTTAATATTTTAGTTGGTTTAGTGTTTTTTGTTTTTTTTTTTCCTCCTTTAGACTACTGAGCTACATGAGCAACAGAAAAGCAATTTAAGGTTGATCATTGCTGATTTGCAGACCAAACTGATGGAAGTGCAATTGGAAAGAGATGCGCTTCAGGATGCTAGGTATGAAGGCCAGGACAGATGTGTTGTGAGGAGTGTGTATATGGGCTTTGAGAGGCACACCACATCTCTTAAATGAGAAACTTGCCCTCAGGAATGACGACGATGAGACTGTGGTACCTTGGTTTAGAAAATGGCTTACTATGTAACTGTAAAAAAAATGGCAGTTGATCAGCGTAAGTATTATACCTGTTATTCAGGATAAAAATCCATGTTGTGAATTCTGTTTTCTAAATTATTTCTTCATTTTCCCAATACAGACAAAAGGAATCCCAGAGCCAAGAGAATATCAAAATACAGCTGAAAACTACTATTAAAAAACTGGAAGCTGCCAGCCGCCTGCAGGAGGAGATGCTAAGGGAGGCTGACAGCCAAACTGAACATCTGGAAAAGATGGTCCACAGCCCCAAGGAAGTACTTCTGGAAATCCGTGGCATCCTCATGGACTACGAAGACAGCACAGGCAGGAAACTCTGTGACCATGAGAATATTACTAGCCAACAGATGCACAGCCTGAGCACAGGACTTGCTGACGTACTGCAATATTTAGACTCAGAGGTGTTATACCTCAAAGAAAAGGTTGCCCTGGTATGTGAAGAAAGTTATACTTTTCCTTCCAAGACTTTTATGTTCGGTATTTTTAGAACGTATTTTTGATAACTCTGTGACCTCCCATCTAAAGCAGCTGAAGGAAATTATTATGGCATAAAGGCATACAAATGCTACTTTGCAGTTAAGATGGCAGGTGCTGGTTTGCCAGCCTTTTACACTATCCCGAACTTGAGGGATTTATTGCCAGAATTTAACCACTTGTAACTGGTTTCACAGTTTAAGGTGGCAGCAAAAGGAAGGAAATCACACTTTGAAATCTACAGTTTCGAATGTCTCTTCTGTAGGCATTAGCATTGTTGTCTATTTGCAATAGGTAGAAGAAGAACTTGAGTCACTGAAAAAAGATTCACAAACCCCAAAACAACTGCTTCAGCAACACCAAAATAGGTACCTGTTCTACATTTATTTATTAATATAACATAAATAGATGTTTTCTCACATGTTCCACAGATAGCTCTTTTCTGATGATGATGATTGAGGGTGGGGGGTGATGATGGGCTGGGTGGGCAGCAATGAGTTTTTGAGGACTTAATAATTGTTAAACTCCAGATGTTTCTTTGCTCTTGACTTTCTGTTGCTTTTTCCTTCCATGCTGACAATTTCCTGTTTTATTCACTGCATCAAAACCTACTATTTCGAAAGAATCTCTACACCCGAATTTTCTAGGTGGACATCTAGAATTTGTTGGGAGACTAGTTCCACCATTGAAAGAAAAGATTGAAATCAACCACTTTGGTAGCTGCCTCAACTTTTTCTCATTAATTTCACTAAGAACTTTATCCTTCCCTCTTCAAGAAGTCCTAATTTCCCCAGCTATCCACCTGAATTATACGGTAACCTGTTCAAAATAAAAGGGTCAGTAACTCAATACATAACATTTCATTCACAATAGGACATCAAAATGGTTACATTTCTGAATACTGGAAAATATCATTATGTTTTCAGTACAGAAGTTACTACTTGCCAAGACTAAAATTGTAACCAGTATTTTCTTTTCGAAACTGGATTGAGCAACTAGTAAGTGAGCATGAACAGGAGGTGGCAGCACTGACTGATAAAGCACAATGCACATAGCTGTGCAAATAGTATGGAAAGCCAGGTGGAGATCATTCAGTGTGTTTTGTGATTATAGTATAGAAAATGTTAAGAGTAACCTTAACTTTAGAGAAAGCTTATGCTGCTTAGATGCTCTGCTCTCTGCCCTGCACTTTTGGTTTCTTATTTCATTGCACTGTGACCTTTGTCTTTTAAATGTTCTATGGATTCAGATATAAAATTAATTTCCAGCAGCATTTTCAGTTGACTCACAAACAGCGATGGGTAAACAGTTGGGTTGTTTGCATACATGTACAAATAGTGGTGAATAATAATTTTAAAGAAAGGGTAGTTTCATTTGGGATAAATAGATGTTTTGGTTCTGTTGACTTTGGTAACAATTGAGTGAGAATAAAAAGACGCTAATTCTCATCAGCCACTTGACAACTCAGAATTCAGTCCTCAGTATACCAGTTAAGAAATGAGGATATGCCATGCAGTGTTGCAAGCCTAAAATGAGATTAAAATGTGAGTATGCATTAATATCTGATTTGCATGGTTGAGACCATGCAAAAGCTTCTCATTTCTGCTTGTAGAATAGTTTGGGTGCATTTGAAAGCAGACTTGCCTTTCTTAGAACTTGCTTGGGAATAAATGAGTTATCAGGAATAAAAAGCAGCAGGATTTCAATTATGTAATTTTATGTGAGATGGATATCAGAGAGCAAATCTGACCAGTAAGGGGGTGTAATTTTCATGTGATTCCACTGTGAGTGATAATCCTACTGTAAAGCCGTGAGTTTCAGTGGTCATAATGATTGCAGTGAAAACCACAAGATGTTTCATACTTCCATGGTTCTTACAGTTTCTAATTTCTCTACCTAAAAATTTTATTAGAGAACAAACAAGAAATCAGAATTCAGTGCATGCACATCAAGTTAGTCACTTGGAATCTACAGTTTCTGAGCTGCGTTCTGAATTACAAGAAGCTAAGAGGATATATGAAGACAAGGTGTGTATGGATTTCTGTGTTAGCATTAGTGCCAATGAAACTGTGTATGTGCCTGGAATGTTCTAGGTATATAAGAAAAGTATTTTTATAAGGGCTTGCTTCAGAAAAACTGTGTGGACAATAAGATAAATTACATCATCCTTGAGTTGATTTGTTTGCATTAGTTTTAAGAACACATTATCTTTCTTTTTAGCACAAAATCTCTCTGCAAAACTCACTGAACAAAATAGTTTTGCTGAGTATATTGAAAGCATACCATAATGATGCCTTCTGGAAATAAAATGATTTTGCACTGCAAACATCACTTGTACATGGAGGACAAGAACGTTGTTGTACTGTACTGCAAGAAAATATGTCAGCAAAAACAGGCAGTAAAAATAGCTTCTTATTTATGTTGTACTGCCCAGAAAAATCTTTTGATAACTTTTTGTCTTGGTAAGTGGAAGGATGGGAGGACATTGAGATTACAGCAGTGCTTGAGCATTCAGGTGCCCGGAGATGCCCCATTCGTTAGTTAAGAATCTTTAACATTTATTGAAATCCAAAGGCTTCTATTGAAATCCAAAGGCTTTTTACCAGCAGGATACAATACAGGCAAAACAAAGGGTCTGGGCAGCACCTGTGTATTCAAATTATTTCTTAATCCCATTAGAAAGCATTAATCTTGACGAATTTTTTTTTAACCCTGCTGCTCCCTGAAGCCCAACTCATTTCCAGGTAGTACAGCATAGAGTGCATAGAGTTACTGCCAACAGATAGAGAGAACTTCTTACAGTTACACACAAAATCTCTGCCATGTCTTGAATTGCAGCATTTTGTATCCCATTTCTATATCACACCCACTGTATCTTTCGGTTATTTCACTGCTTTTGTTTCCAGTTTTATAAACAATTTGAATAGCTTTAAATTCCTCCTTATTTGTTGTGAAAGATAATTTATGTTTTCTTTAGAAAATTATCTGAAAACTATTACTGTCCACTCTCTTTAAAAATCAGTGGAGCTCATCCATGCAGAAATGCTTGGTGCATCCAAATCCATCTTAGATTACAAGTCATGAGGATTTAGGCATCCTTCTCCAACATGCTGTTGAAAAGGGAAAGTTCAGGTCACAGGAGTTCCATGAAGTTTGGCAGAGCTCATGGTCTGTGATCCAAAAAAGTCTGAGAATGGAATGGCAGGGATGTGCAGGTCAAGCCAGTAAAGCAATGGTGCGTGTGTACTTGCAGTATAAAACAGCAGGAAGGACATGGTGGTTTATTATTTCCATAGGTTTCCTCTTCTGTCAATCCCATAGATTGACATGCATTAAAACTCATTAGTCAGTTCCAAAAGTAACTTTTCACAGCATCATAACTGACCTGTAGGGAATTTGTAAATAAATATCCATTATTGTATTTCATCCTCAAGGAGGGTACAATATATGGTATGTTTTCATGTTGGCTTTACCTGAATTCTTTTGATTCAAATCATGCAGTGCACAGCATAAGGTCATATCAGATTTATAGCTCTAACTATAGTGTATACTCCATGGGCATGTTCCCTTACAGAATGCTTACCTTGTAACAGATGTAAAATTGGAAACTGGGAATCAGTTTAAGTCTATTTTTCACAGTCTACCAACTCCAGAAAATGTTTGGGTTGTATGTCTAGGAAAGAATATGCTGCTTTATCCAATAAAAACTGCTTTTCAAAAGGAAGTGTAATAAACTGAATTGCTAAGGGAGACTTTAGTGAGAGATGAGTTGATAGCTGGAGATAATTTGATCTTAGGCTGTTATGTGGAGTCATTCCTTGGAAGATGTGAGAGAGAATCCAAATAAAGGTTTTATAAATGAATGTCTTGCTTTTACAACATGGCTTCCTCCGGGGCTTCTCTGGTGGGATAAAAACCTTAGCAACTAAAATTTTCAAGAGCATAGGTGAAAACTAAAGCCAAAGATGAAGTTAAGCGTCAGTTTCGGTATGAGGAATTACTGAGCTGATTAGGATTCTTCAGCCTGGAAAAATGATGTTACATAAATGAGGTTTGCAAGATCAGAACCAGTGTGAAAAGGATGACTGAGGATGAAAGGATGAAAAGGGTGACACCTCATGGTCTCTTCCAGCATAAAATGGGATCGTTAAAAGCAAGGTTTAAAAAATCAGAAAAGTGTGTTGGTTCATGCAACAGGCAGTAGACATGAGGAAGGTCCTGCCAAAGTATGTTGAAGTTGCAACAACTTGCAGAATTGGGCAGGGCTAAGAGTAATGCTCCATCCCTGGCACTGTTCAAGACCAGGTTGGGCAGAGCCATGGGTGACGTGAGGTGTCCCTGCCCATGGCAGGGGGGAGGTTGGAACTAGATGATCTCAAGGTCCTTTCCAGCCCTAACTACGATTCTATGATTCTATGGTATAAGTTGTTGATACGAGACAGTTTCAGCAGTCAGAAAAATGTGGTACTTTAGTGGCTATAAATCTAAACATGTAAGTGATCTGTCTGCATATACTACATAAAACCTGCTGTTAGACCTCAGTGTGTCTGGCGAATTTCACTGTATCATTAAACACAGAGTGAATATGGCTGACTATATGCTTGGGATGAACTTCTCCCTAAATTAACTTAATTGTATAGGAAGGGCCTTATGTGAGAACAGCTCTTTCTGTCACTGTCAGAGAAAGCCCTGTTGATAATGTTGTACGCAGTAGTTGAGCTCTGTAGAGGGTGTACTTCAGGCTTAAATTTTCTGTGGACATATGGAGTAGCTGTGTAAGGAGGGATTCAGGGAGAAGTGACCTGGGATTTACTGAGATTTCTCCTATTGGAGGGCTCCACAAGATGAGAGGAACCCCTTTCAGAAAGGACCTAAGCCTATCACAGGAAGAAGAGGCCCTCAAAATGTCCTTCCACTATTTAGCCATTGGAGCTCTAGGAGGAGAACCAGTTCAGTTTTGGAGAAGAAAAACTTCATAAGAAGATCTTCAGAACTTTCCCTTGACAACATCTTTTCATCATGATGTGCCCAACCTCCATTTGATGAAAGACCTGAGGTTTTGGCACTAACCCTGCATAAATGGTCCATTAATAATTAAAAAGAATTATGTCTTCATTATAATCAGATGCATGAAAGAGGGGGGCAGAAGAGGAAAGAAAGAGATGAATGGTTTTGTCACAGGCTGAAGAAACATTTTTAACTAAGTAGAAAGGAAATGCCCAGATTTTGGTGGCAGCCAAAAGAGAGATTGCAGATGCTGAAGTGCTTGTTAGAAGAGCGCTGTAGGAGGTTTCATATATTCTTATTGAATGATTCCATATAGATTGTGTTTTAGTCATATTTGCATTATGTTGGCTTTTCTAACTAGTAGTATTGCAAATCAAGCAAGGAGCTTGAACTTTTTTTTCTCAAGTGGCTGTTTTCCTGTTCCATTTAATGTTTACAGTGCAGGTAAGGAATTCTTAAAGAGCTGTGGATCAGGGTGGAAGCCAGTTCATTCTCAGGAACCTCATTTAACTCTGCAATGAAATTGATCTTAATCTCTGAAAAACAACACAGTTCTGAATACACCTAGGGAATAACTGCTGAGCTAAAAGATGACGTTTGGTCTTCTTTTGAGTAGAACCTAGAAGAGCAGTAGAGAAAATCCAATGTAGTATTTAAAATAGAATATGTTAAGGTAATTATTAATGAATATTTTTCTTTATTCTAGGTCAAAGATCTTGAGAAGCAGTTGCACCTAGTTCTTTCTGAGGTGGCAGAAGCTCAGACAGAGCAGGATCAAAGCAGCCAAGAATCTGGATATCCGAAAACCCAGACTTATCAGTTACTGGTAAAACCAAGTGATCGTGTTGAAAAGAATCTTGCTTTCTAAAAGCCTCTCTCTACTGATGGTGTTGAGATTTGCTCATTGCTTGTTTATGAAGTGCAGCAGCCCCCTTATAATTAAGTATGAGGATTATTTTTTATTTTTTTATGAGGATTATTTAGAAAATTGAATTAGCCATCAAGAAAATTTCCCAAGGGCCTTTGCCATTAGCAATGCAGGACACCCTATATTATGATTAATTTTGTCAAAAACACAAAACCCTTGAATCCTGTGCAAATCATATTAAAGATGCTGAGCCACCTTCACTTTAACCTCACAGTTTAGGTCCCTCTGTTCAAGAACCTTGATCCCTTAACACATTTTGCAAGACACATCTGGGATTTTCCTAATAGCACTAAACATTCCTTTATAACTGATTGAGAATATTCACAAATTGAACATGCAGTATAGAAAAGCTTTGCCACACATAGGGTTGATTTCACCACAACTGGCTTCATGTACTATAATTAGCCTTGCTTTTCTTCTTACACAAGATTATTCCTTGATGACTGAATTTTGGGATATTAGTCTGTGTGGTTTCATTAGGTTTGTTTGCCTAGTTATTGTCACAGTGCTCTGAAAGAGATGTTGAAATGATTTCATTCCATACTGCATTCTCCTACTCAAGGGTTAGTGTAAATCTGTTCCTACAGAATATACATAGCTATTGAGAAGACTGGAGTCAGAAAAATCGTTGTATAATTGAGGGTTAAGAAACTCATTTTAGGATTCCTTTTGTTTCTGTCTTCAGCTCATGTTTTTATTCTGCCATTCTCTGAGCTTCCTAGTTGGTTTTCTACTTCCACTTTTACAATATGCAGATAGTTACAACAGCAAAAGTTATGATTAGCAGTAATGCCTATTGATAATTCAGTTTGCGCACATTTTAAATTTATATTTTCAAAATGAATAGCTCTGAAATGTCAGGATTTTTTAAATAATATTTACATTTTAAATTATTTATAATTTCAATTATGTACTGTTACATCTGAGGTAGAAACGATTTAAGCTAGGGGGAACATGTGGCAAATTGCTTCATGAGATGAGATGAGCAATTCTTATTAGTGGTAAAGATGGATATTTATCAAGAGCAGCCTTCCTTGGAATGCAGTGTGCTTTATTGTTTTTCATTTGATACTGACACAATACAAACTTTTTAAATTTTGTAGCTTACACTGATTTTGGAATAGATATAAATGACATGAAAGACTTCAGTGCTGAGGTGCTACATGCTTCAAAATAACTATAGCAGCAGTATATGAAGTTGAAACTTACTGCTTTGTTGGAAGAAAACATGTAAGAGGTGTCAGACTAGTTTAGCCAATATACCTGTCTTCTGCCAAGTGTAAATCCATACAGTTGTCCCTATTCAGTTATCAAATTGTATAATTGAATGTGCTGATGTTAAGAGAAAGAAAAAAAAATTCTAAATGTGATTTAAAGAGGGAGGTGACTTTAATTTTTTGTAGCTTGAACTTTGTAAAAAAGAGATAGAACTAGAACCTGAACTGCTAGAAAAAGAGCAGAACAAGCGAATCTGGGATCAGAACACAGACAGCAGCATCACCATTGACCATCTAAAGAGACAACTAGACAACAAAACCAAGCAACTTCAGCGTATGGAAAACCCAGCAAAGGAAATGAGGACTGAATGTCAGAGAGAACTGAAGTACCAGGTTGGTGAGCAGCTATGATGTGATAGTGTTCAGGAGAGAAAGAGCACCAAACAGGGGCTTTACTTCAGGTAGAAGCATTGTAACTGGTTACCATGGGGTGGGGCGCCTCTGGGGCTAACATGGCAAAATTTTGCTTCCAAAGATGCAGATACATGACACTCAAAATCTGCATTTTTTTTCCCTATTTTTTCTCCATTTTTTTTCCCTTTTCTGACCTGTCCAGCCCTCACTTCTCATTACTTATGAAGATGTAGAACCATTATTTAAATTTTGATTTTTGACATACAAAGCTTAGGAGAAAATGAATGTTCTGCTGATCGTATGCTTGATTTTGACTATAAACCTCTGAAACAACCTTGTGTAAATTTCCAGAAAGTTTGATGCTGGCAGATGTAACAAACAAACTATTGAAGGTAGTATTTTCTGTAAGAATAATTGGTAAATGAAAGGCCTTCATAATGCTTTCATTTATGTAGTGCTTAATGAAAACATAATGAAGTTTATGTTTATAAACGTAAGCTGAATGCAGTGCTATGTCAGAAAGAATTAATTCTGACAAAGTAGATTCCTAGACACTGACTTGTAGTACATTCCTCTTTCTTCAAGACTTCACCCCCTCAGAAATGCGCTGTAATTAGGTAACCCTCTTTGCATTTTGCGTAAAGATCAAGCTAATTACTTTGTACTTCAACCAAACCACAGGCTTGTGCTACCTCACATAGCCTTCTACGTTTTCTCAATCCATTATTTTTCCTTTAAAATCCTCCCACCAGGAAGTTCATTCTTTTCTCCTGTTCCTATTTTGTACTATTAGCATATCCCGAGTCACAGTGCTTGATGCTTTAAATGGTGCACATTGCTGCCTGCAGGAATAAAATCAGTATAAATTATTCATGTACATACTTTTTTTCCCCCCAACTTACAGTGCTGTCAGTCGAGTTCTAACAGTTAAAGTCCTTTTGCCTCAGCTGCTCTAAATTTCATACTAACATTGCAGGTTTGTCGTTTTGTTGGTTCTATTTTTTCCCCATCAGTTTAACCTTTTCCATTTTCTATAATAAACCCCCAATATTCTAAGCAATACTTATTAAGATGGGGAAAAGGAAAGAAAAGAAGAATCACAGTCATTGTAGACTAGATCATGCTGACCTAATTTTCCTGTAAAACCCAGATGTTTTAAGGTGAACTCTAGAAAAACAGAAATGTGACAGAAAGTTTTAAAGGTATAAATAAATGTTTCTCTTGTTTGATCTTTATATTTCTGTTATTCAGATGGCTGCAATTAAGGAAAAAAATGAAAGCATTGGTAGAATCTCCTCTTTGACTGTCCAGCTGGAGTCAACCGAGGAAACGCTCCGTAAAGTTAAAGAAGATCTTACAGCCAAACAGATCGCTTTGGAGATTGCTGAGAAAACAGTGTCAAATATGACAGCCTGTCTGCAGGAGAAAGAGAGAGCCCTTGATGCTACCAGTGAGGAAATTGAGAAGCTGCATTCACAACTTAGCAGTAGGATGGAGGAGTTCCAGCGTCTCAAGAATGACGACCGTTTACATTATGTCCAGTCAGAGTGTGAAACACTGAAACTGCAGGTATCAGAGAAGGAAAGGATTATTGAGATCTTCCAAAAGCAAATTGATAACATGACCCAGACTGTGGGCCAGCACAGTCGAGCTGCTGGAGCAATAGAAGTTGAGAAATCCCAGCTTATAAAAGAAATAGATGACTGGAAACTCAAAGCAGAAGAACTTAAGGTGTGCAAACAATGTTTTATTTATGTTTTTGTAATACAGTAAATATTTTCTGTTTTTAAATATCTGTCTTAGTGTGCTAATACTGTGGTTCTAACGCAGATCAGACAATGCACCTTGAATCCTAGCAGCAATAAAAGAGTTAGTAAGCAGAGAGAATATTTCCACCAAAAATGAATAATTCACTGGTAAAAAGCAGTTGCCAAAAGGCTTCTGAAAGCTGGAATATAAGATGCTGTCCTCAGTGGTACAGTTGTCCACACCAGTAACAGAACCAGAAATAAAAGTGTTACTTAAAAATAATACACAGTAAGCACTCAGAATTCCAAACTGAAGACACTGTTTAGAGCTGTTTATTACTCTGACAAGAATTACAGGATAGGGCAGTCTTATGCAGGTCAGTATCTTCAGAACAAATTCACTCCAGATAGGGAATCTCATTCTCTTCTGTGAGAATTAGGGGTGAATATAGAGGTTCTACTAGTAAAGGATGGAAATAATTTTCATATAATATACCTGCTAAGGTTAAACATGCTGTAAACCATCAGATCAGATTCTGTTTTTGCCTGGATTATCAATTTTCACAGAACTAATCTATCCACTTTACTCTGATTTTCTTTCTTGCCCCAAACTCTTCACTGACAACCAAGATTTAAAGTAATGACAATGTCTGCACATCTTTGTGCTTATTTTATATAATTATGTGTATTGCACATAGTTAACATTGTCTTTTATGTAAGTAGATTGCAAAGGATGAGAAGGAAACCAGAATACATGAAGTGGAAGCCAGACTGAGTGAACTGGAACTGGAGAAGGTTAAACTGGTTAACACCTGCACTGAGAGGCTCCATGCACTTAATGATATGAAACTGGAAAAAGAACAGCTAATGAATGAACTTGAAGCCAGTCAGTGTGAGCTAGCTGGCCTTGCAGGTAGGGAGCCTCAACTTGGCTCGTCTCTGATAGCTAAATTGGGCTGGTGTTAAAAATAAAAGAGCAGCTTGCTTGCTGAATCCAAATATGGCTGCTGGTACAGCAGAAGGTTCCCTGCCAGCAAGGGGTGGTCAGGTCACTTCAGAGAGCTATGTTGTGATTTGGGATTCTGGCACACAATGGTGGGAATACAATCTTTATGCAGTCTCTCACTACCCTGAAAAAAAGTGCTTAAACTGCCTGGCTCTGGAGACCAAAGAAACAGACGTAGTAAATCAGAGAACAGATACTTCACTGCTTTTTCCTGGGTGTTATTAAAGAGCACTAGGGGATCCTATTAACAGTCTGTGATCAAATTACAGTGGAACTTTGTTTCTGTTTTGTTGTAGCTTTGCTACAATGTTATTTAGAAATTTTTATGTTGTAACTCCACTGTTTTCAGAAGTAATGTGAGGGAAAGCAAATCAAGATAATATTTAAAAAAAAAAAAAGAAAATCAAAAGTAGGGTCTGGAACTAAGCCAACCACCAAAATTCAGGGGGATTCTCTGCTAAATCTGCACTGCAGCCACCCAGATGATACTGTTCGCATGTTTTGTTCTCTACACACCCCTCTACTCTCATAAAATTCCCATTGGGAACATGGATGTCCTCACTTCTAAACTTACTAAGTTTTGTAAGAATTAAACAGAACCTGCATGTCTGCCTTAACTTTGTACAGTACTATCAGGGTGAATGAGTTTAAGAAAGGATTATTGGAGTGAATGACCACAGAGAAATTAAGGCCAAGCTGTTGATAGAGTCTGAGCTCACAGCTGACTGGCTTGTAGTGGTGTGAATGGCATAAATGAGTTGCAGAGAAATAAGAGGAGCAGAGCTGAGAAGCAGAGTTACAGGGGAATGTTTGACAGATTAGATCCGTTACTTGGTTATAAGCGTGGCTGGAGAAAAGAATGTCCAGGGTAAAATGATGACTCTCACCAATACCCTTAACTTTCACAGTATGCAGTTGGGTCTAGCAGCAGAATTCAGAAACATGGGTTTATATCACTTACTTGAGCTGTTGCTTTGGTGAGCAACCAAAGAACACGTTTGTTACTGGTGAAACAGAAGCTTTTGGTGGCATGCAAGACAATGAATTGCTCCTTTTAAGAGTGTAGGTGAGAGATCAGTAATCTTGGCTAGAAGAATGATATTTTTTTTGTCACTATAATTTCAATCTTACTTTCATCAGAGGGATTTGAAGATTTGAAGAGGGACTACCAGGATAAAATCAAGGAGATGGAAAATACAGCAAACAGACTGAAAATGCAGTTGAAATCTGCCCAAGCTGAATTGGAACAGAGCAGGACTGCTCTAAAGGCTATGGAAGGATATGATGGCAATGGTAATTACGGATTGAACTTCCCCAGAATCACATACATTTATATTTTTAACGAGGGGATTTTTCTAAGTATTGATCCCTCAATAGATACTATAATAATATTCCAGATGTTTTGTGAAATAAGTAATCAGTACTGCGGATAACAGCATACTTTTATTTCACCTTTTACTACATACTGTAAAACTTAAATGAGAAGTTGAGTTTCCTCAGGTGATCTTTATGCCTGTTTCCAGGGAATGCTCTCTTTTCATCTTGTGAGTGTGATGGGTCTGGTGCCACTACCATGGACAAACTCCAGTTAATGCTAATGGATGGTTTGCACACATAAGTGACTATGGAATCCTGGTTTGACTTACTTATACTAACCTATTGCTGATAACCAACTTCCAGAGTCTTTTGACAGAATACTTGATCAATGTTGTTCATTGAGAATGAACTTTGTCTTTTGTAGCTATAAAAGTTGCAGTGGGAATGCAGAAGCAGATCACAGCCAAGAGAGGACAGATGGATGCGTTACAGAGCAAGATTAAATTCTTGGAAGAAGCAATGACAAATGCAGCTAAGGTCAGAAGAGCTCCCTGTAAAAGTGTTTAACTGTATTTAGAGAAATTTGTATTTAGAGAAATGCATGGCCCAAAGCACAATTGTCCCAAGAAGGACCAAAGAGAATTTTACTTGGTGTAATGGTCACCTTCCCTGTCCTCCCCCTAATATATATGAGAGAATACCTCCACTACATAAATAAGCCTTCTGCATAAAGACAGGTTTTAATTTATAGTTATTCTCTGTGAAAGAACAGTACTAGTTTCAGTAAGAAGCAGGCTCTTACATATCCATTCTTTTTAAAAATGTAAACTAATGCATTCTGTATCCTTCTGAATGGATCTAAAATCTGAGATGTTATCTCATTGTGACCAGTCCAATTGTACTTTTCTTTATAAGAGCTATCTTCTTGCTGCAGAAACCTCATCTTTCTGTAAAATGCAATAGCTAAGCTTCTGAAATGGTTGATTCAGATCTGTCAAAGAGCAAAAAAAAAAATGCAGAAAACAAATACATATAATGTAGATAGTTACAAATTTTTGACTCATACTTTTTATCCTCATCTTAAATTCAGGAGAAGCATTACCTCAGAGAAAAAAATAGTAAGCTAGGTCAAGAATTGAGCTATATTACATCAGAAAACACCAGGATTGCTGGGGAACTGAAGATCCTGCAATCACAAGACAAACTTCTAAAAGAAAAAATATCCAAGATGGAGACAGCCCTTGATAAGGTAATTTAAGGTGCTTTCAGTGAGACCTTCCTTTACAGTCATTTAGGAAGAGAATGTCTGACCTCTTACCTAGGTTGTATTTAAGTATGTCCTATTCACAGGTACTGTAAGACTCTTACCTGAAGAAAGATCTGTAGTTAAGACTGTCTTTTGGGTTTTTTTAATGGTAACAGTCTTCTGTTTTCATTAAGAGAATTCTCGATTTACTCCTTACTATTTTAGGGAAATAAAAGCTGCAGGGAATTTAAAGCACATTAGGCTGACCTTCTAGACCTGCCTCTGGCTCTTTGGCACAAAGAAACTCCTCTGTGGAGAGAGGAACAATTATTCAGGATAACAGGGGCTCCACTGAAATCAAGCACTGGCACACCCAGACACAGCACACTTCTTCATGCTCCTTCTCTCTCTCTTTCTGTGCTTTGGCCTAGAGCTTCCACTCTTCTTTCTATCTTGATGAGCCCTTCCACTCTTCTTTCTATCCTGATAAGCCCTCAGTGAAAAAAACTTATAAAGAAGAAAGAGTATATAACAATGAGACAGGTCAACAAAGTTATCAGCCACCCATTTTAAAACCTTGAGTTCTGACACACTAGCACAGTTGAATTTTCTAATCCCAGAGGTGTTCAATAGGTCTAGGACTGTCCCTGAAAGGATTAGCTCCCTTCTGTGATATCATGGTGTGCATATTATGACTACTAGGATCATGTAACAGGTGAGTTGCTTTTGTAAGTCTCAAGAAAGGCATCTGGTCATATCGCAGTATTTCTATACTTATAGCAGTAGATAAATATAGCATCTCTCTTTGTACCTTGTTTCTTTATCAGAAAGAAAATAGACAAGACTGCAATCCACAGAAAGTTAGCAAAATTAATGTTTCTTTTTTCCTCTCTTACAGGCATCGCTGCAATTTGCAGAATGTCAGTGCATAATCCAGTGTCAGGAACAAGAAGCAATGCGCTTCAGACTGCAGCATACTTTAGATGTAAAAGTAAGTACGTTATCGAGAAGTATGAGTATAAACTTAGATGTATTTGCTTTGTGTCCTGACTTCATGCTTAACCCTATTTATTGCCAAGTACTCTAAAAAGCTTGTGTTCTGAAACCTCTTTTTACATGTTCTCCATCAGGGACTGTAGCAATAAGACAAGTGGTAATGGGTTTAAACATACACAGGGGAAGTTCAGGTTAGATATAAGGAAGAAGTTCTTTACTGTGAGGGTGGTGAGGCACTGGAAGAAGTTGCCCAAAGTGGTAAATGTTCCACCCCATCAGTGTTCAAGGCCAGGTTGGACAGAGCCTTGGGCGATGTGGTCTAGAGTGAGGCATCCCTGCCCATGGCAGGGGGGGTGGAACTGAATGATCTTAAGGTCCTTTCAAACCCAGGACATTCTGTGATTCTATGATTGTTGCACAAGTAATGTCCATAATTTCAGTTACTTTGAAGTGCTGTGTACAGTAAGGCAATAAAAAAAATCAATAGTTACAGGAATACTGGATTGTATGCTTCAGCTGCTGGGCTTTGGTTTCAGTGACACTTCATCATTTTCTTACAGCCTTAGGCAAAGCAAGAAATGTTAATGGCATTATGATAGAAAATGAATTGGAGAGGTCTGAAGGGGGATGGCTTTTACTAGTGTGAACTGTTACAGCTAGAAAGCACTAACAATCTTTGGGGCACCCACATCCTTCTTCAGGCCTGAAGTAAAACCAGCAACCTTAAAGCTACATAAAGGCTGGAAATAAGGACTCTGAGAATCTGATTATGCTAATTAAGTTAGGCAGCACCAAAGAAAATCATGTTTAAGAAGCCAGGAGAGATGTTAGCAGGGAGAAAGGAAATACAGTCATGAGACATCTGGGACAGAAAAAGGAAAACTTGTAATTGACATCTGTCAAGCTATAGAGCAGTAGTGAAAGATGGGGTATAGGTAAAATCATGCAGTAATGAAAAGCCAGTATCTGTCTCATAGAGCCTAGAACTTTTATTGCCCAATAGATTCAGTCCAATCTCTACCTTTACTAATGAGTTTAATAGAGAATATTATTTACGTTTGCCTTACTTGTAACCATAGACTATTAAGGCTGCAATGAAACTACTGCTATAAATGAATGGTACACTTGGAATGGAATTACTGTTAATTTTAGTGACCCACTCCAATTGCTAGTTTTGAGTGAGAAACAAAATGTTATTTTCAAAATACCACTCTATATCAGAGTGATATCTACATCAGTGATCCAGTAAGTACTTGATATGAACAATGGCAAAGGCCGGAAATCTCTGACTCATATGAAAGAAATCCTCATGCAAGTGGGAAAAAAGAGGTACAGGAACTGTGAGACAGTTTAATTTTGTGATGGCCCTGAAATTTCCTCCATTTGAATGGTTTCAGAGCGTATGTTAAAATTCTGACAAGAAATGAAACTGCCAGTCCTGCACCTGATACAGTCACTAGAAGGTTTATATCTGAGCACACCTAATAAACGCTAAGAAGTGTTTGAGAAATGAGTGGTGCATATTATAAGGTATTTGGCTAAGAGATGCCCTGTTACAGAGGGCATGATGGCTATACCCATTTATTCTGCTTAGCTGTACTTGCTTATTCTGCCTGGCTCATGTTTTTCCACAGGAGCTGCAGAGCCGAGGCTACTTGACACCTTTTCCTTCAGGCAGGCTGTGGCACATAGCACCCCTTTCCCACCTGCACTCAGCTGTCATGCCACCCTCCCTGAATTTGGCCAGCTGTGTCACTGAAGTGAGTACCTGTCTCAAAATGGGAGACTGCACAGGAAACAGGGATGTTCCAAAAAGTAAAAATAATGTGGGATTGATAAATGGGAGAGCATCTAGCAGGACTGTCCAAGAGTGAATTCTTAACACCAAAGATGAAAAAATTTTCTTTAGCTTCTTGTATGCTAGGGCCTTTCAGATTTTCTTTCTTTTTATATGTAAAAAACAACCAGACAATAAAAAACTCTATGGATTGTAATAGGAGTTTATCTTACCTCTATCACCAATGACATTTATAACCTGTTAAAATTGAAGGTACTGATCTGTAAGCAGTTTGGTCTTCGCATTCTTTTTCTTTGCTAGTACTCTACTTGCTCTAAATCCCTTACATTTGGCAGTGAAAATAGACTGGTACATAATTTCTGATAAATTTCATCTGATTCACCTGTAGTAGCTTTTAATACTTAAATCTTTCTCCAAGCTGGTTTTCACTATGACCAATTTTATCCTAAAAGACACATCACTCTCCTTCCTTTTGTTTTTGTACATCTTTAGGTGCTAGTGTTCTGGTCTTTCATTACAGAATAGATCAACTCAAATCTCTCATGAAAAAATGTAGTCTTTTGGTATTTTCTGTGTAGATTTTATCTCATTCTCCAAAAGGTACCTTATGTATCTCCCATAGAAATTGGTAGAGGTTTTTTTCATTAATTTTTACCTCAAAATCTGTAGATTACAAGCTACTGCAGATATTTTTCAATAATATTTTCTGTTTTATTTTCTGATGTGGTGACAAACATTTACATCAAGGAACAAAGGAGAGTTAAGTCCCTGTACTATCAGGTACTCCCCTTCTCTTTACTTTAATCCATGTATACTTCTGATGATAAAGTAGGATTTTTAACGTAGTACTATGGCAACAACCTAACAGGTCATAAGAGAACTTGATTCAAAGTCTACTTGAATCTTCTTGGTTCCTGCATAATTAGTTTTTGTACGAAATGAAGCAGCTCTGTCATGTGAGACAGAGACCTTACCTGGTCGATAGCCTGGTTCCTTAGCCAGAGTTTGGGAAAGATGGATTTGGTCTAAGTATCACATCTACCCATTATGAAGCTGAGGACTTGTTCTCCATAGAAACTCTGCTGAAACTAGTGTGTTCCCATTGGAAGTAACTTTTTCTTTTTCAATGAAAACATGCTAGCAAAATGTTTCTAGCCAGTTCCATCCACAGATGAAGCATAACTCAGTAGGAGCAGTGCTTTGAACACGAGAAGTGCTTGAGTAGTCTGAAAAATCCAGTTCTTTCTGTCAAGAGAAGATTCTTTGAACCAGGCCTTTGCCTCGAGTCCCAGTTAGTAAAATGAGAATAATATTGCACTTCATCTCAGAGCATAGCTGTGACAATGAAGTGGTTTATATTTGCAGACAGCTCAGCTGTGATAGAAATGAGTGCCTAGACAACACCATGATACAACAATTTCAATCTTCAGAGCTGTGTTTGTGTACTGGACAGTAATACCTGGGGTCACAGGTCAGAAAGGAGCAAACAGAGTTGTCACATAAGCAATGATTACTGATGCTGTGTCCTGAAAAAGGTAATGGTTGTAGAGGTGTGGGGGGGAAACTTTCATAATGAAAGGCTTATTTTAATGTTTTTACCCTTGAAACAGTAGTCATAACCTTTTTACAATATTCATTGAAAATGCAGATGTTAGCCATATCCTTCCTCAGTGGTATTTAGTTGCTTTACACATTGCTGTCAGATAACTTCCAGATAAGAGTGCAGTCATATTTGGAGAATATTTTGACAGTTTTCCCATAATCAAGTCTAGCCTCCAACACTTCTGAACTAAAATGACAAAAAATCTGCCTTGTTTCTAACTGTGAAGACAAGAGTAGAGGGGGGAAAATATGTGACTTTGGATGAGTATAGGAAGGAACTGAAAAAGAGAGTACCTTTATAAATACTTTGTAACTGAAATTTATCTCAAATGTCTTCCAAGCCAGACATTTTGAAGGATGAACCATTGCAGGATCTAAAGAGGATTCTTCAAGAGTTAACAAGCTCAGGCAACGATATTCCCTCTGTGGATCTTGGCGAGGATGGCAGCAATGGTGGGAGAAAATCACCTTTAGCAACCATGTAAGAGTATTACTTCTGTTGCGTGCAGTGTACTTGTCTTCCCTTTTTAAACTGGGATCTGGCTATTTGTGTGCCTCAGGAGCAAACCTTTTTGCAAGAAAATAGGGTTTACAAGTTAGCTTGAGTTAGCCTGAAAACTTCCAAAGATTCTGTTGTTTTCAAGGTTCCTTAGATGCTTTAGGTGGTAGTGTAATAGACGGTTACTACACCATTTGCCTTTATTGTTTGCTTTTTGATGTTTCTGCTTTTGTTTTCATGTAGAACTCTCTTCGTCCTTTGCCTTGTGCAAATATCCTTCCTCTCATTACTGTAGCAGCTAATTACTACTGGCAATGGCTTGAAGTTGAGAAATCAATACAGCACAAATTCTGATATTTCTAAGTCAGAATATAAAGATACTACATACAGGAAAATATAATTAATGGACTTCTATTAGAATCATATTTACTTAAACCAGTGACACTTCTCCCATCATACACACTGTTGGAACAAAATCATATTGGTCAATATCCTATGTATTCCAGGTTCGATGCTGTGTTTGGTCCTGTGTTCTACTGAAGACCAGAAGTTCCTTGTAGATCAAAACTCTGAGAGAGCTTAGTGAAGTAATGATGTGTTAAGATTCATTGGTCAGGCTTGTGTCCATAATCTCCAAAGCTTGTGGTTTTATGTACTACAGAATGGGTGTTAAAACAAGTGGGAAGGATTACCAAAAGGCATTCATCACCTTAGCATTTTCTGGAAACAAAAATATTGTGGTGACACCCACAAGACATTGCTGAAGTCTGTAGAAGTTAAGAAGCTTCCTTTTAAATGGATACTTTATTAATTAAATAGAGGACCTTTACAAAAGGATACACAAGTGGTATGTGGAAAGCTGGAACAATGTGCTTCTAGGTAGCTTTAGCAGAGACAAGATTTTGTAGATTGTCTCCTATGAAGACTGAGATGAAGCTCATTTTCTACTTTTCTTCTCCTGTTCCCAGTGCCTTAGTTAAAAGTTGTGCTGTATCCAAAATTACAATATCAGAATATAAGATGGCAAATACCAGCTGCCATTTGCTGTAAAATCTTACTTGATTTATTCTTTTTTTGTCTATTCCAAAGCTGAGGTTGTCACAAAAAGCCTGACATAGAGCAAGAAGTCTTAGTATGATAAACAGAGATAGCACTTTGTGTGCTTCAAGCATGCTTAGCAGACATGGTGGTGTAGATAGAGATGGAATAGCAGAGCTGCTGGTGGGAATGGAACAGTTCTACAAAAGGTCAGCATTAAATTCAGCAAGATTTTACTTCTTTGGAATACTACCAAGTGTCTCTCAATGCTCAAAATTAGTCTAGCTGTTTGTTTTTTTTTTTAATTTAATTAATTATCCATTTCCATTCTCTTACCAAATACCACTGTACTCTAAAAATTTACAGTGCCTGAGGAAAGACATAGGTCCAAACCTAGAAGAGGCAACAGTTTATGTTATAGTGAAATATGGGCTAAAAAGAGGCTGGTCTGAAGAAGCTAATTAGAAGCATTGTTGTGTGAGTAACCAGAAGGAAGACTGCAGTGGCACTAGTTGTCTAAAGCAGTTACTGGGTTTTTTTCCATCCTTATGACTGTGAATCTAGTCATTTCGTTCCCAGAGAAATAGTCTAAATTCCCTCTAACACTAATAGACTTCTTTTAGTGGACTCATATAACAATTTTATGATGCCTTTTCTTCACTATTACAATGTGGCTGCCATTGTACTCTGCTTAAGAAACAAGCTTATCTTCTAAAAATGTGAATGTAGTGATCCTACTGGCATAGCCTTTGCTGGGTTTTTGACAGTGATGTGTGTTTCTGTACAGGGAGACTGCATCTAAAGACTCTGCTACTGAAAACAGCATGGAAAAGGATACTTGTGGATGGTAAGAAGTGCTTTCACTCAGCTGAGTAACCTACTTAAAATACTCATTTAAGAACAAGTTCCTAAGGCTTCTTTAATACAGCCCTGAGCTTGTTTATGTTGGTTTATTCATAATGGTAAAGTTTCCTGGGAATTACAAAACAAAGGTGTGATGTTACTTTCATCCTTCTAAGAAAGAGCTCTGGGTTTTCTTTACATTGTTAGCTTTTAATTTACATGTATAAAATCTGGATATTACATAGGAGAGCTTCACGGCTAGCTAGTATTACCAAAACTTAGCATAATATTTTCAGAATGCCAGTTTTGCCATCATTTTGCTTGCAGGGATCCTTTACCCTTCCATACAGCAGACCTTCAGTCCCAAGACGTTACCCTGCCCTATACATCCCTTGGTAAGTTTTCACCAGCTGCAGTTGAGGATGAATGTGCCATATCAATATCAAACTGAAACATTAAATAATATTACAAAAAATATAGTCCAAATACAGTATATTTTCTTAGGTCATTAACCAAATACCTATCAGGTTCTGTTACAAAGTCTTTACTGAACTTTCTGTAAATCTGTATTTTGGTGTAAACCAGGTCCATACAGGTTGATACCACTGTACCTAAAACGGTTATCTTCCATGGTAGTTATTCATGAGTAGCAATAGTGTTGTGTACTATGGATAATATTGCCAAATTTTTGGTGCCTAAATTTAGGCTCTTGAATTCTATATTCAGATATCTAAATATGGATGTGCTTTTGAGAGGAATCAGTTCATTGCAAATGCCGTTGATTTCTTTCCAAGTACTGGGTGGTCAGTACCTCTTAAAATGCGATGACATGAGTTTAGTAACCTAACCAGAGATAGAAAGATACAGCTTTGAGCATTAGGGTTTGAAGATATCAGACTTTGCCACCGTCTTTTTTTCCCCATGGATTATCCATTCTGTGAATTTTCTCTGAGATTTGCCTGCAGATGCTCATATATTTAATTATTCTCTATTATTATTTAAGCCACTGTGCTCCAGGAATAGGCTAGAACTCCTCTGTTTGTCCTGAGGAGTAACTACTGTAGGTCCTCTTTTTATATTTTTGAGTATTAAAGAAAATCTCCTGGGTAGCTACTGTCAGCCTTCTAGCAAACCTACTCAACATCCAGGGATTTTTTCTAGCTCCCAAAGCAGCTGCAGGCAGTTTTTTTTACATAGAAGATTTGAGATATAGTTCAGCAAGAGGAGTTTGTTAGAAACCCCCCAAATTATTTTCAAGATGTTCCAGAAGGGGGGTGTTAAGAGTAAGGAAACAGACTATGGGAAGAAAAACGGAAAACCTGTAGTAAATATTCCCCTTATTAGTTGCATGCAACCTCTTCTTTATTTTTACACACACACAGTGTCCCAGCATATGAAAATGCTACATAATGTCAATTGCGTATTTCTGTGCACGTCTTGTCTCTTTTCCTTATGACTCCCTTTCTGCCAGCAATTCAAAGCATATCAGTCACTTGTTGGAAAGAAGGGAAATGGCAACATGTGTAAGCAACATTATTTTTTCTGCTTCCTATACCTAAGTTATGAGACCGAAATCAGCAGTAAGGTACGGGGACCACTGGGGCTTAGCACCTAGGATACTCCCTACAGACACAGCAGAAAAAGCAGGCACTGCTTTCTCCTGGGCAGTTTTACTGGCTGTTCTTCACATGAGAATCACTTTAAGAGAAACAAGCATTTTGCAAAGAGGCTATACTCTCCTGCAACCTTGGCTACTAACAGGAATGGAAAGGATGAAATAATGCAGTGACGAAGGGACCTCAACCCTGTAACTGTTACAGATATAACATCAAAGAATGAATGGGGGTTTCTTTTGAGGTATGAGCTCACTGCTTTGTGCCTGGATATCTCCTAGGAGGTGCATCCATCTTCTCACCAGCTTCTGACTATACATCTGCCCCCAAGAAGGTGTCTCAGGAGCAGAGACACAGAGAAAAGTCTCCAGTGCACTTGTTGTTAACTGCTCCACCGCATGACCTTGCAGCTGGCTCCAGTGCCTCACCACAGCACAGACCATCCGCACAGAAGGTCTACTCTCCAGAGGGTGCAGCCACAGTCCCCCATATAAGTAAGTACAGTCCCATTCCCTGATCCAGAGAGCTTGGCTAGGTTTCTTCCCAGCCAGTACAGTGTGTGAGTTACAAACTGTATGTTAAATTCAGCCATTCTGTAGAAACCAGGGGAATCCCACTATCAATCACTGATCTCTTACACTTTATGATTGTAGTATCTGTACTCCACACTGCATTTATTTTTTCATGTACTTTTGTAATACATCACTTACAGAATCCATCCATGTTGCTGAACTTGAAGACGAATAATTCTCAAGTGTACACTTGAGATCAAGTCTTCCATTTATGGTTCCAACAACTGCAATTACAGTATGCAAATTTATTGAAACATAACATACTGAGGGCTCATTTTAAAGCACTGCTTTAGCAGCTGTGGCCCACTTACCTGTTCTTGCATCCATCAGGCTGCCTGTCACAGTTCTGTTCAAGCAGAAAGTTTCTTCTGTGATAAATTAATTGTGAGTAAAATGTAGCAGCTAATGAATGTACTATACAAAGAGAAGAGAAGAGAAATTCCATGCAGTACTGGTAAATTGCTTTATTTGGATAAATAATGTAGGGATGCTTAACATCAATATTTGCAGTAACAGGCATAACAGTTGCCTAATACTAAATATTTGTCATAGTTGTTGTGGTTCCTGTAACACATTTAGAAAAGTCTTGGGGTTTACTGAAAATATTGATGTAAGGCTGTGTTTGTGTAGCTCTTAAGTGATAAAAATAAGCTTTCCTGCATCACAGAATAGGTGTGAGGGTGAAGAACATTTTCAGGGTCTATTAATGTCTATTAATGACTTGCCAGGGAGCCAGGCTATCAGGACTGCTTTATTACATTGAAGTGGCAGGAATACCCCAAAATGAATAGATGCAGTAGGAAAAACTAGATTTTCATACAATACTTACTGAATATCATGTTGAAACACTACATTTCTCTGTTTTTCAAGGTCTGAAAATACAGACACATAAGCACTGCAGGTAGGAGGGTAATAGGGATGCTGTGAACTCAGCTCTAAGCTAGTGCTATTACAGGCAGAAATCTAACCATAGCTCCAAGGAGTATTTTATGCTTCTCAGGTGGCATTTTTTTTGTAGTTCCAACTTAACTTCAGCGTGTCTATATTGTATTGTTATCTTATTAATGCAGACTTCTCAGTCACTTTATCTTTTGCATTCTTGGAACATCAGAAGCTTGTCTCTAAAACAGCTGGGCTGAGCAGTCACCCTGACTAGAACATTAATATTGCTGCTCATTGACCTTTGCTTCTCCCAGCTGCTTGGCTGTGTGAAGATGAAGTGCATGTTTGTTAGCTAATCTATATTTTTTAATGTTTGTTTCACAACTAAGAAATGCCTGTTGGTAAACAGAACACAAATGTGTGTGGCATTTCCCCATCAAACCGCTGAATTGGCAACATGAGTGAGGTTCTTTTGTCTTGTTTGTTAATCTGGTCAGCCAGTTACCTCCATCTCTGGCTCATTTTGGGTTTGGTTTGTTTTTTTCCCCTCTTTTTATTTGAGAATTTGGTGACAGTAGCAAAAACGAAACCAAGTTCTGTCCAGAAAAGTCTGCAAGGATGGGAGGTTGTAGTAATTTGTATCGTATGGGCGTCACCTTGTCAGTCTGTGGGTGTTAGTGCTCAGTCAGACAGGCACAGTGCCTTTTGAATTTTGCACTGGTCTGAATCCTCAAAGGGTTAGCTTTTCTGGTTTTATTTTTGGCTTCAGTATGTTACATCTTTCTATACCTTAGTTTTCCATCTGTAAAATGCAACTGACAATACTGCTCTCCTTTGCATAACTCTTGCAGTTTTACTGGCAAAGAGGGACTTAGAAGTTGTGGGCATAATACTCATTTAGTAACCCTTGCTCTCCATTCCCCAAATGGGGACATTTATAGGCAAAATAGAAACATGTTTGCATTGTCACTTAAACAGAAATCCCACTAAGTATAAATCTCTGTTAATAGCCTTCACTTCTTACTCATTTTTCTTTGCTACTGGAAGTTTTATTGTTTGCAATTTTATTTTCTAAGAACTTCAGATGGAATGTTAAAATAATTTATAATGACTTTTTTTTAATCTGTGATAACATATTGATGAATAATTTCTCACTAGCTTCTCAGCCCATGAAAAATAGTAAGGATACACATAGGAGACCACAGAACAAGATGGAAAGCCTGCAGAACCTGATGGGACTGTTAAAGATAAAAAACCAAGGCACAAGGATTTACCAAAAGTATTCCTATTTTATTTAAAATACATGCTCTGCAGAGACTGTTCTTGTTACCTGCCAAAGTACTACCTGTGTTTTTGCTTTATCTAAAATGAGGTAATTTTAGATGTGCCTGGTTTACTAGCAGTACCCACTTCTACATTACCCTGCTCCTAGGAGAAAAATCGGATTAACTCTATGATGCACTGTTGTTCAGCCCCTTAACTCTAATAAGCTTTGAGATCCTTAACATTTCAAACATGGCAGCTAGTGAGGAGTGCTGGCATGTCCAATTAAGTGAAATTCTTGACAAGCTGATGACTCTTTCATGGAAACTGAAGGATACTCTGACAGCAGTAGACTCCAAAAGTATCGTTTCCTAGCAGTGGCCTCAGAAGCATACCCTTTCTTTCCCAGTTTTTAAAATCTGAGATGACCACAGTGACAATGGAGAACTTTCCAGGTTTTCTTCTTGTTCCCTCTGAAGTCACTGGTAAAGTGCTCATGAGGTCCTTTGATGGTAGGAGGCCAAGTGAGATGGAATTTCTTTTTTCTGCACTTCTTCTTATTGCACATGCCAGTTGCTTCCCCTTCTTTGGCCCTTTAAGTCGCACTGCATAGACTTGGGAAATTATTATTTCTCACATCATACAGGGCACATGTGTCAGGGACATACAAGTGACCTGATTTAGGGAAAACTAATCAAGTTGTTTATTTAAAGTATAAGGTAAACATTCTCATTTTTATTTTTTGCCGTCCATTAACATCTTCAGTTTGCCTGGATTTATATCCACATAATAGTATATGTTCCTATCTGTAATGTATTGTTACCATATAAAAGTAAACTTGTTTCCATGAACTGTTAATTTAATTAAATTATTTAATTCTATAATTGTTACTGATAATTAATAATTTGATTTAATAATTTAAGTATTAATTTCACACCATCCAATAAGAGAGATTCTGAAATCTATAGTACTTCACCTCTACTCCAGCATTTGTTGCTTTGGCTTCACAAAGCAGATGAGGTGCTGCCTGTTTAGAACCAGCTTTATCTTTTTTATTAAGGCTCTGCATATAAATAATTACAAACTAAAGCTACATTTGTGAGGTTTTGATAAGTACAGTGTAACATGTATACTGGAAAGCTTGAGGTGTCTGCAGCTGAGGCCTCAATCATTTCAACATAAGGTGGTGGTCAGATAATCCCGTTCTCGCTGCTATTTTCAGACACATCACCAGTGATCAGAACTCATGAAGTGAAGACAGAGAAAGCAAAGGAAAAGGAGAAAAAGCTATTGAAGGGAAGACGCTTTGTACATTAAGGATTACTTTCATGTATGTACATTGTGTTTAAGTTATATTTTTAAAGATTAATAATAAAAGGTCTTACAGTTTTGTCATTCTTGCCTGGCACCATGACACTCTTTACGGTTTTTAACTTTTTAATGAGTGGGACATACAGAGTAGAAACATATGTATATACGGACTCGTTCACTGGCACACATTTTCAATAGCTGCATGCTGTGAGGGACACTGGTCACAAGCTGATTGCTTTAAGCTGAAGTAGTTCTTACATGGATTCTGGATCCTGCACACCATTTCAGGTCCTGTTGTTTACAAAGTTAGTTTTAAAATGGTTTGTTAGGCAGCTGCTTTTCATTCTAAAATGAACTGGCTTCCCTTCCCTCCATACTTCTTGTTATTACTTCAAAAAAACTCCAATTCATCTGAATACCCCAGAACTGTCAAGTATTTCCAATAAAAGCAGGAAATCTCCCTGTGGCATCTGTTAACATTGAGGTAAAGTGTTGAATCACATACCTGCAACTGCAAGACTGTGCAGATTTCATCCTATACCATGACTTCTTTAAGCAGAATGGATTCCTCAAGTGTAATACAAATAGAGGGTCCACAGTCTACCTTGGGCTTAGCTTTGTAAGCACTTCATTTTTACTTAGAGCTGAGAGAATGTATGTTCCTAGTTTGGGACTTTTTGTCCTTCCTCATTTTGTGTCCCTCTATAAAAACTAAAACAGGAGAAGTTCAGGCATAAAAAAATGCATTTTGAACCTATACTGACTTATTTATTTTAATAACAGCCTAGTATGACTTATATACCATGCTCCACCACCCGTATTAAGAAGTTTGCTAAAATAGTGGGCATATTACTTTCCGTTGGTCTGCAAAATGCTCTTCACTCACCGACACAGACAACCTTCCCTTAATATGAGTGCCTAAGAATAATGTATTCAAAGGCCATTCCTAGTGTGAGATTAGTAATAAACAGGAGGGCATGTTGAGAGCACATGGCATATGTGAATTGATTTAAAGCCTGCTATGTGTTTGACATTTGAGGATTTTGCAGCAGTGGGCAAATGACTTACTGCACTTAAAAGACTAACCAATGCTAAAAACAATTCCAAAGTAAGAAGATGAACAGGATCGCTAAGTATCGGATTGATGTTTAAAGCCTCATTAGTGTTTGACGGTATCTCAGGGAACAAAATAGTTGTTTAAAAATAGGCAGGGGAGGAAGAACTTTGAACAAGAACCCAAACTGATTGCTTTTCCAGGATTTGCCATTGAATTTTTGTCTGGGGACTGGTTGTGAAGAGCAGATTAATAGTACTGCCACTTCAGACCCCAGCAAGGCTTTCTGAGAAGTTGGTCACAGAAGCTGCTGACCAGGTAGCAGGAGAGTCCTTTCTACATACAGTACTAACAAAACAAGGTGCAAGATGTCCTGTGATAAATCTGTACCCCAGCAAAACATCCACAGGGTCAGCAGGAGGTGCCAGTGGCACAGCTTCACTAGCATTAATGTTTTTCCTCATTATCTGCTTTCTGAAAAGCAGTTATTGCCTTGAGTTTGAGGCAGCATGGAATGCCATGCTTGAATTCAAGGGGCTTACCCAGTGATTTTGTCCAAACCAAATGTTCTGTAGCTATGGATCAGCAAATGTAGCTTCATGAGCACAAGCCATGCAGATACAAGCTTGGGTTTGTTGACTTTAAAGCTACAGAACTGTATTCAGAGTGGATCAAATCTCTGATGTTTTTTTCTTGTCTTCTTGTGCCAGAAGAAGAGATCAGTGAGTTGGTCCTAAGCTATCAGTCATTGTCAGCAGTATTTTGTTTTAATTCAGATAATTTGCTTTATTTTCTATTCATTGATTCTGTCATTTTTTGCAACACTATTGCAAACTTAGTGAAAATGTTAATTAAGTTACCTCTCCTTTCCTAGGAACTGATTGCTTTGAAAATGAAAGGATCATTTTATAGTTGGCTTGTGTATTACAATTTGGACTTACTACACATATTTGACAGGTCTACCAGAGTTTTCATAAGTGAGGTATAGAGGATGGGAACATACATTCACCCTGTAGTCCTGCAGGTTGGAAAAGGTCAATGAAAAGTGCACTCTCGTTTGTGTTTAAGGAGCTAGGCTAAAAAGAGTTCCAAAAGACTGCAGCTCTGTGAGAACAGAAAGGAGAAGGTGGATCAGTACAAATAGCCAGAGAGAAGGGAGATCTGTCAAGCGAAAAAAGCAGCTTAACATCCTTGTGGTGTAATCCAGTGAAGTTGAGAACATGTCTGGGCTTCCTCCCTGCCACCAGCACCAGGCCTGGGGAGGCAAGAGGGTCAGAAACTCAGGGGCCGTAGAGCAGCTCTAGCCATCCCACGCTTGAATAGCAGCACAAATAGCACTTTGTTATTTCATGCCATACAGGCGGATGACACAGGAAGACCATTAGGCAAATCTTGACCACAGCAGGACACCGCAGATGGCAACCACCCCCCTAGGGAGAAAACCTAGTATCAGGCTAATATTTTTGAACAGATCATGTGAGAGGCTCCGAACAGTAAGTCTAACTCTCAGAGAGAATGTGGGGTGGAAATGGTTTTTGCAGAGGCACCTGCAAAACGAATAGGAAGCAAACAAACTGCATTACAAGATTTCTGTGTGTGACTTGAAATTGGTTTATGCCCAGTAGCTGCAGACTCAGGTCATCAGCTCAAGCTTGTCATCCACATACAGCATTTAGCATTTGTACACCAAACTACTTCATAAGTAGGAGCAGATTGCATTTTACCTAGCAGTAATCAAATGTCCAATTTGTCAGAAGTTTATTATCAGCAATAGGAGCAGGTGAACTTAAAAGGTAACTCCTTGCTTACAGAGTTTCTGGCTTTGCCAAACTGTGAGAGAGACAGTTTATTATTTGATCTTTGATATCCTGAGCCACTGGCTGCTAGGCTGTTACATCCACATAGGAATGTCAACAAGAACTTGTTTCTCACTTGTAGCTTCACTAGTCTCACAGCCAGGAAATAGGATTAGCCAGATAGCAGCCCCATCTAGCAGAATCATTTTTATTCAGCAAGGCAACTTGATTTAAATCTAACTTCATACTTAAGTGAACAGATTCTCCAACAATGAGGAATCAGCTCTGTACACTTAGAGAAAATACTAATTAACTCCTCCAATAATACAAAAAAAGTTTACTTTTTATAGCATTGACCCTGCTGGGCCAGCAGTGATGTGAATGGCATAATTCAGAGGTTAGAGCAAAAGCACAGTGCAGGTCTTTGCAGAAACCTTGCTCAACCATTCAGCAAGGTGATGCAATCATGCCTTGTCTGTGGGATCAAAGTGCAGGGTGTTTAATTGAGAAAAAAAAAAAAAACGTTCTCAGCTTGGAAGACCTCTCAGGGTTAGTCTGTTTGAAGCATGTTCATCATTGCATTAGAGAATCTATTCTAGTGCAGGTTAAGTGGCTTTCTAGTTGTCCTGGGTTCAGCTGTGAAAATCTAATACCACAGTTAATCTCCTCCAACAAGCCTCCAATGTATGTATAAACACACTCAAATGGCTGTGGCTGCTGGACAAATGCCTATTAAGTTAACAGTATATCACTATTTGAACAGCTTGTGCTAATGGGAAAAGGAAATGTGAACAGCTTGAAAGAACCTTTTGCTTTGACTTGAAAAGTCATCTTCTATTACAACTATTTCAGCTGTACCTCTGAGAAAGTTGGGGCTGTTCAGCCTGGAGAAAAGAAGCTGTGTGGAGACCTTATAGCAGCTTTCCTGTATCTGAAGGGGGGCTACAAGGATGCTGTAGAGGGACTCTTCATTAGGGACTGTAGTGATAGGACAAGGGGCAATGCAATCTAACTTAAACAGGGGAAGTTCAGGTTAGATGTAAAAGTTCTTTACTGTAAGGGTGGTGAGGCACTGGAATGGGTTGCCCAAGGAAATTGTGAATGCTCCATTCCTGGCAGTGTTCAAGGTCAGGCTGAACAGAGCCTTAGCTGATATGGTCTACTGTGAGGCATCCCTACCTATGGCCAGGGGGGTTCAAATTAGATTAAGGTCCTTTCCAACCCAAACCAGTCTGTGATTCTATTAATCTTAAATATATTATTCATTTAAATTTATTGTTATAAAAAAAGGCAATTGCCATTATAGGCATTAGGTCAAGCACAATTTTATGTGTTCAGTTACAGCTGTAAGTTACTGACTGAAACCCACATAGACATTCTCTGTGCTCTCTGGTGGTGCATATGGATAGGATTTAAGAGCTTTCTGTTTACACACAGTAAGCAGAGTCATAATTAAACAGTACAAATATTTCTTACAGTGAAACAGTAGTCCCTAAAAATAAGCCTCATCTTAATATTTATTTTTTAATCCAGGGTGTGCTAACTATGTCCTATTTTCCTTTCAAGTGTATAAAGTAACTTAAGTGCCCTATTAGTTTCCAGTTGAGAGAGTTGAGGGCCAGTACATGCACATGCTGGTATGTTTAAGACCACTGAAACAACATCAACCACCTACTGAATTGTCAGCTCTGTCCTCTCCCTTTTGAGTTAGTGGACAGAAATGATACCACCTTCCTCTCAGACCTGCAGTACTTCTCATCCTGGAGAAACAGTTAACAGAAAGCTTACAGTCAGTCTTGAGGTCAGCTCCCACCCACAATTCCTAACCTGTTCTCTTCTATAAAAGACCCCTTGAAGGAAAGATTCATTCTCCCAAATCTTCATGTTGCTCAAGGCAACCAAAGAGCAGAAGTTACTTCAGCAGACTAACTGAGCTACAGAACAACTTGCTCTGTCATGTAGCAACAGCTGGGAGGAGTTTTGTTTTACATGACAGCACGAAAACTCCCAACTTGTCAGTGCAGTTGTTCACTTGCCTTGGTCTCTTTCCCTCTCACCCTCCCTTCAATGCCTGATCCAGATTTTCTTCAGCTTGAGGTGGCACTAGATCATCTTAAGGTCCTTTCCAACCCTAACTATTATATGATTTTGTGACTATACCTGTGTGTGCAGGCAGCCTAGCCTGCTCACAGTGGATATGTTTGGTGCTGAAGTCCCAGTAAC